AGGTTGACAATGGTTTTCGAGGGGTGAAAATTTTCAATGTTACACTCAACTACTTGCAATATTTATTATATTATACTGAATGTTTTATACAAATACATATTACAGTGAACCGTGCGTGCATAAATTCCGCGCAGTCGCTATTTTTTGTAATACCACCCGTCGTCAAGCAATGTTGACTGTTGCTACGCAGGAGGGCGTGGCTTCATTATTCAGCGGGTAGTAGTGTTTTTTATCAAATGTTTCTCGACGAATCAGATTCAAGTAATTTACATGAAAGTATAATATAAAATCATAAAAACGGGCCATAATATGTACATGGTAGGGTATTTTGTAAATTTCAGAACGCAAAAAATATTTTACATGGTTGTTGACGGAAAAGTTCTGTGGGTTTGTCTTATTTCGCTTATTTCAGGAATGTGTGACGTCATAGTTGGGTTTTCCCGTACTCGAGAAATGTAAACATGACACGTTTTTCTCATGATCATGACTCGTTTAACTTTGCCCCGTGCAATATTGAGCTCAGCTTCACCAATCGATATTTTTACCGTTAATCAGTACAATGACGACCTTGAACTTCGACGTAAATTTTCAAATATTGAATGATAGGATTTTTTGCAAATTAATTTATTTATGGTTTAAGTTGTCCTAAAAAAGTCGTAAATTTCCGTCTCCAGATGTGGTGTTACAAAAGAATCTTGCTTTTTCGAATCTTTAACCCTATTCATACTCTAAAATATTTTAAAAGACACATTTCCGCTGGTATATTTTTTATCTATGGTGAAAATTTTCAATTATCGACCGAGTAATGGACCCAGAAACACGGAGAATAAAAACTCCGCTCAGACCACAGGTGCTTGAGGACAGGACCCCCCCCCCCCCCGCAATATAGACCCCCGGGCCTGTTAGACTTTTTTCACATAAATTGTATGACACATTTGTGATATAATATATCCTATCCATTCAGAAAATTTGCTTAAATAAACATTTTATAAAAATTTCTTCCCCACTCTCTATATAAATTAACAATGTAGGGTAGATTTTATAGAACATTTGTTTCAGGTAATTTTTCGATTTGTTGGTATAGGTCTTATCACAAATATGTCAGTGAAAGATTACTTATGAGAAAAAAGTCGAAAAAGCCAAGGGGTCTATTTCGAAGGGGGGGGAGGGGGGGGGGGTCCTGTCCTCAAGCACCTGTGGCTCAGACACTTGGGGTATGGTATTTGTCACTCAATATCTCAGAAATAAGTCTAGAAACCTATTGATATGTCTGCTTTATAGTATGTAGGACATACTAAATAAGATATATACAAAATATGAAAAAAAATTAAATGACAGGTATTTTTTCAGCTAAAGGTCCTTCATCCCCTTAATCAATTTTTTTTGCCCATTACATGTATCACATGCACCATACAAAACACTGAAATATAGTCTCAGATCTATGTAAAAATTAGGGTTTTTTGATGGTAGATGCTTTTTTTTTTTAAAGTAAAAAAAAATGGTTTTACTGTTTACTGAGATTTTTATCAAAAATTATCTTCAATTAAAAAAAAAAATAATTTCCATCCCTCCCTCCTGTGTCTGAAATCCTTCAGGCGGCAATTCCAAACAAACATTTTTTTAAGGATGGCCCTGTTTGTTAGACTTTCTGCATCTTCAAATTCCTTTTAAATTTTACATGATCACTGCGTACTGGTTGTCTTCGTTTTTAAGGCTCAATACACAAATTGTATTCTAGAGGGACTATTAATTTAGATTTAATACTACAAGTGGTAATCCAGCTGAAAATCACAGTTCCCTTTCTATGGAAGAATATTTTTTAAAATCATATGTCAGTTTTTAAATATTTTTATTTTTAATATTGAAAAGAACCAAAATGAATTTGAACTACCATATACAGTATTTATTGGATTCCAAAACTTCATAAGAATCTTTTAAAACAGAGATACGAGGGTTGATCCAAAGTAAAGTCACAACTTTGATAAAATCGCTACCCGTCGACGTAAAACAACAATGATGAAAGTTGCATTTATTAGATCTAAAATTTTTAATTCAATCCACAGGCCTTTAGATCGCTTAGAAAAAAAATTGAGGTGTTAAATTAAAAACAACTTTTTTTTTACACACACAATTTTTTTAAGCGATCCAAAAGCCTGTGATTCAAACTGATTCATATTTTTTTTAAACAGCGGATTATATTTACAATGTAAGATTATGATAGCCGTCGCACATTGTATCTACCATAGAATTTATGAATTGATGACTTTAAACGAGACTGTTGATATTCTTGTTTCACCAACTTGCTTGTCAATAATTTACCTCGTTTAAGAAATTTATCATATGTAGAGCACGCTCGTGTTTAAGTGAATCAACTGAGATATATACACTGACTTCAGTAGTTTACTCTAGAGGTTGTAGAGGTTCATGATTTTGTCATGTCCACGTGTTCCAAATTTCTTAATCGCTGAGACAGGTAACACTGTACCGATATTTATACCCAGTGTATATCATTGGAGTCCTGTATTTTTTCAAATCAAGAATGTTCCGTCACATCAGAAGTAATCTGTTTGATTTCTTTTCCCTGTTTATTTAGAACAGCCAGGTGTTTAGATTTTATCTCATCAATTTCCGACTTGCGTTTGTTGACAATGATGTTAATTTCTCTGTGCCAATCTTCTCCTTGTTTGGTGACAGCTGTTGTCAGTTTCCTTTAGTCTAATTTGACTTTTTTCTGAGTTTACATCTAATGTGAATTCTTAGTATGTATGATAAATTTCTTCATCTATTTCCTTTAAGGCTCTTTGTTAATCATTTGTTTTTAACTGTGTTTCTGCAGAGATTTTCATTTTTATAGCATTTCAACACAGACTAGACAGAGATTTACATGACAAAGTTCACAATGACTCTGTAATGCAGTCACAGAGGAAGACGTCTTGGCTAATGAGATTTTGTTAAGTTGACCCCGTACATGCTGTAATTAATATACCATACACTTCTTGAAAAGCAGAATATTCAATAAGAATACCAGATAATAATAAATCACTTGTATTTGTATCACTTTTATTCAATTTTGTAAGAAAAATAAAAATTCATTTAAAAAAAAAAAAAATTCAATACAATTGAATCATAGGAAACAGGCGTAAGAAAACTTGCAAAGCAAAATATATAAAAAGTAGCAAGAGAAATGACCAGTATAAATAGAACTGAACACTACAGGTACAAAAAATTCACAAAAACGTGTAATTGTTTTATTGGACAAGGGTATGTATTTAGTTTACATAACACAAAGTATATCTTTAATGAAATACAATTATGTAATAAATTCTTCATTATCATACACATTGTAAATGCTTTTAAAAAGCATTACATATTTGAATGCTGATGATGAAATACTAGTATACAGTGGCTGGAACGTTATTGTTGACAAACCAATCGTGTAGAATCGTTCGTGCATCGTGCGTGATCGTTCGTCTAACGTGCGAGATCGTGCGTGTAACAGACTCAATCGTGTGCGGTTTTAATCGTGCGTGAACGTGCGTTTAGAAACGTGTAAATTTCGTTTTGTAAGTTTTTATCGGAATGTTATCTATGAAACAAGTATTTCGTTTATATTTTATTTTTTAATCCAAATAAAAGGAATGAAGCGCAGTTTACATAATTGAATGCGGAACGAACTAACTATCGCTTGTAAACAAGCAATATAGTAAGTCGTACAATATTATGTTCTCGTCAAATGGCGTGACTTATTGTGATAAACCGTACTAAGATGTTTTACTACATTTTTCTGAAGATCATTCTTGTTTGCTGCTAATTGTGGTAAGAAATTTTTGTTTTACATTTTCAAATAATCAAAAAGAAATATTTTTACAAATAAATAAATATTTTTCAAAGCTTACATAAATGTTTAGTCGGCGAATGTACATGTGCGTCACGCACATGATTTTCGGGGTTTTGTTTAACAGTGTTTATCTCTGTAGCTTACTTTTAATTAATTTTTAAAGTAAAACAATAATTTGCAATGTTTTTTCATGTTTTAGAGATTCATAAATATTTTGAAGTAATGAAAACATATAGATATAACTTTTAAGTCATTCCATGCTGCCATTTTTTCCCCAATCGTATCCCCCATTCTACATATTATGAAATCCATTTCAATCAAATTTTTCGGTCCACCTACTACTATCTTTTGATAGAACAAAAAAATCTGTTTTCTTATGTCGGAGAATTATCTATTAAATAATTATTTATTATCTAAAATAATAAAAAAAAATCTTACATGTATTTAGTACCAGAAATACCCATTTCCGTTTTTTTTTCAAAGTCGATGATATAATATATTTATTGAGAATTCTTTGAATCTAAAATCAATATAAAGCCGTATTTCGTTTTGGAAATATTGATTCCTAAATAATTTGAACTATTTTGCGTGAAGAATCGTGCGTTTGCGTTAGCAATCGTGTAACGTGTAGAATCGTGAACGTGAAGGATCGTTCGTGTATCAGGATTAATCGTGCGTTAATCGTGCGGAATCGTGCGTGTAACGTGATCGTTCGTGTAAGTTGTCAACAATAACGTTCCAGCCACTGTATAATGAGAACATCTGATTTACATCTTAAATAAGATTTATGTGCAAAAAAAAAAATGCTGACTGATGTTTTTTCATACTAATTGCTAGTCCACTGAATACACTGAATTGACGACAGATTTGTTTAACCACAAATTTTTGTGGTGGTTTAATTTCTGTGTTTTCTATGTATGAAGAGACTCATGAATTCATGATTCACGAAATGTATCATGTTATATACAGTGGACCTTTAGATATCCAGATGCCAGATATCCGGATGCTTCAGTATCCAGACAACTTTTTGTTGGAACGGAATTTTAAAAGGTAATGCTGTCTTGTTTAACTGGTGATTCAGGTATCCGGATGCTTCACATATCCGGACAAATTGACTGGGAACCAAAGCGTCCAGATAAATGAGGGTCCACTGTACATACATGTAACTACTCATTAATTCTACATCCACGAAATCAAATCCCCATGAACCAAGACTTTTTTACACAGATTTTACAGTACATGAAGTTAATCAATAAATATATCGCACATTTATATTTACTGTCACATACAACTTTCATTTACAATGTATTACATCTTCCAACAGAACATACATTTAAGCTAACGCAGAGAAATCTGTTTCCGTAGTCAGAGAGTACTGTTGACCTCCCCATTCTGCATCCCTATCATGGCTATCACAAATTGTCCATTATGTACCCCTATCTCTATGGCGATGAAGTTGTCAGGACTTCCCCATCCTGTACCTCTGCCTCCCTGTTCCTGCCCCTCCCCGCCGATGTGCGTGTTTCTCTGAGGTTTGACTTTGGTCTGAATTTTTACCTCCTCCTTCATTCTGTTTGCTACCTGAATCTGTGATAGAAAAAAAGATAACCAATCAATGAGTCGATGACGTTTTGATGATATGTAATTTTTCAATCATAGAAAATATGGGCAAAGGTCTTAGGAATGTCAGGGTAAATTACATACATTACAACAAAACAAAACAACAGGGGGTTCTAATAGACTATGTTAATAGTCATGTTAAACTTACCACCAAACAAATCAAAAGGGGGTTCCAATAAGCTAGATTTGTCATTGTTGTGTATGAATCTAAAAAAAAAATTAGAATTGTACATTTTTTTCAAAGTAATTTTCGCTACACAGATTACCATTTCCCATGCATTATCTTACCATTTAAGAAACTCTTAAAATGAGGAGAAGATAGCAAACTCACATTATTTTAAAAAATCAAAACAAAACAGAAAACTTCTGTCCTTTGTTTTGAATAGTTTTGGGAAATGAAATATGAAAAAAGGAAAAGGATTTGAATTTTAAGATAGCAAATTCATGTACCATTTAGTGTCTAAGCTCATTTTATTATACTTTTATAAAGACTTACTTGAATGCAAAGGATGCAAGCAGGGAAAGACCACCAAAAACAGCTACTAGTAAAATCTGTAGTACCAGATACTGTAAGAAAAATAAAGTTACTGATAAAAACTTACATGGTGTCAATCACTATCAAAAACAATTAACTAATGATAAAGTTGGTAGTATTAATGACTGTCAAAAATAATGAAGCTACTAATAAAATCTGTAATATCAAATACATGCAGAAAAAAAGGTATTATTAATGCTTATAAAATCTATAGTATCAAGTAACTTCAAATAAAATAAAGCTACTAATAAAATGAGTACATGTAGTATCAATTACAGTAAAAAAATTACGTCAATTAATTTCCTTTGTTTCTTACCTGTAGAACAGGTTTTTCTGTCATCCACTGGTCACAGAATACAACTATCACCCCCAGTAACACGCCCCCACCTCCCCACAGCCACGGACGTCTCGCATTCTCTGCAACCAGGATAAAAAAAAGTCTGTATTATTTGATATGTATAACACAATTTTTCATAAACTTATATTTTTACATTCAGAAGCTGCCAGTCATAGTTACTGTAGATGCTGGCACAAGAAAGATGAAGTTTGCTGTTACCGTACCTCGGATCACAAAATTCCAAAAAATTTTCTTCCAAAACAATCATTTCCAGTTTTTCAGTATAGAAATAAATCTTATTTTAGTTCAAAATTTAAAATAAAAGAAAAACAGGATGTGTCAAAACATTATGTGTTAATACAAGGTTAATTTTGCCCTGTGTTATACAAGGTTAATTTTGCCCTGTGTTATTTTCACCCTTTTCTCTTGTAAACAAATTTTCCCCGTTTTAAATTTGCCCAGTCATGGATCTGTTTTAGAAATTATGCTAAGTTCTTTGAATTTGCCCCGTTTGAAATTTGCTTTCTACCTTTCCTTTCCTTTGTCATCTCTCTCCGTGTTTTACTGATTGCCTCTGTAATTCCTTTGTCGTTGGGTTCAATTTTAAATGCTTGCTACAAAAGTTAATTGAAAAAAAATACGAGTTGAGAACAATTTAATGTGCACATGTAACTTAAATCCATCTCCTCCCTTGGCAGAAGAAATCAGATTTTAGCTTCAGGAGATAAATCTACCTCATAGGACAACAAAGCAGCCTCGTGATTCCCTACAGCATACAGGACCTCTCCCTTCCTGAAGTACCCCTGAAAAAAAAAATGAAAATCCCTAAAAAAGTAACAGGGAAAAATCATGTAAATCCAGAATTTTATTTTCATTTTTGAGCCAATTATCATGATTACTATGAATATATGAATCTTAGAATTTTTTTAGCCATTCATGTTCATGAAAAGGAACTTTAATAGGAGATTTTCCTCTCCCTCCTTGACTTTTTAAAATACTGCTAACATAGTTACATTTGACTGTGTATTCTTTTTAGCATTTTTGGCAAATAGGAATATCCCCTAATTCAAGTACATCGCTTAATGTCTTACATATATTCTATAACGAAGAACATTAAAATATTCGCTAAATCAAGTCCATGCCAACTTGTTCCAAATCCAATTTCCGCCAAATATCATACACGCTAAATATAATTCATTTACAGTTATAATAATAAAATTCAATGATCTCTTTGTGGTTTCTTCTTATTACAATTACCTTGGCCCAGTACGGCTGAAGTTTAATTGTTTCTTTAGCGTCCTCTAGTGCATAGTAAAACTGCTGCATCTTTAAGAATGCCAGTGACCTATTACTGTACAATACATGGTTCTTGGCATCTTTCTGGACAGCGTGGGTGTAATGAATGATGGCTTCCGCAAAATTACTATTCCGGACACACTCGTTGCCCTGCTTCTTCAGTGATTCAACCTGCAGGAGTAAAATAAAATGTTTGCATTTATGACAATAAAATACAAAAAGTTTTTGATATAAATTTATCAAAAGAGAATCTTCTTTAAAACACGAACAAAATAATCAAGAAACATTTTTAACAGGTTAAAAACACCATAATGTTTTAATAAAATTTGCAAACTATATTTTCCTCATATAACAGGAGTGAAATATAAAGGACAAGATGAGCATTTGAATCCAGGTCTGGTCTGTCTCATTATTTTCTCCTTTCCTTTTATATTTGGTGTTGTAACAGGGATGTGACAGATGAAAAACCTTCCAGGGAATAGCCTGGGTTGGTGTCTTTGGGAACAGAAGACCTTTAAGCAGGGAAGATTGTGAAAGTCAGACAGGTTACCTGGTGGCCAAATATAGCTCAGTTGGTGGCTTAGTTGGAGGACTGGTCCACTGTATTTTTTCTCCTTTTCTATTACCATGATTACTGTTACATAAGATTTAGTCAGGCTAAATAAATTACTTCACTGTCTTCCGGGAAGTAAATAAAGCTATACAAGTAATTCAAACTACTACAATAAATCTGCTCGAGTCCTAAGGTAAGGAGTTGCAAAGTAAAGAATTGGTCCTTACATAGCGGGTCAGAATCCCACTTTGAAACGTAAGGACTGGTCCTTCGGATGGAACTGTATAAAAAGAGTAATTCCTGTGTTACAACCCAAATGAAAAAAAGGGGGAAACAAAATACTATAACAAACTACTTACAAAACACATGTTTTGAAAGTATTTCGATAGTATAGCAAATCACATGCAAATGAGCTAACAAAACACTATAACAAACTACTAACAAAACACTTTAACAAACTACTTACGAAACACTCTAACAAACCACTAACAAAACACTCTAACAAACCACTAACAAAACACTTTAACAAAATACTTATGGAACACTCTAACAAGCTACTAACAAATCATAAGCAACAAATCATCAATAAACCACTAAATTTGAATTTTTAAGAGAGATATAATTATTAAGCCATTGGCCACTTCTCCAATCACATACATTTTCACAGAATTTTCAAGTTATAATAATTATAATTCATCATTTAATCCAGTGCTTAAAACTGATATAAGCTGGGTAGTATATGGATTAAAGGTCAATCTTAACATGAACAAAACCCCAATAAAACAGGCCATATATGTACAGATCCACATTCACAGACTGAAGGTTACTGTAGTCCATCATAAAAGAACTTTATGTCATGCAATAAATAAATACCTCTGTTATATCCAGATTCATCCTGATTATGCTTTTTCCAATCAGGGATCAATATACATGTATATACTTTACATGTCCCTTCATCAATCTCTATGTTTCTCTCTGACCTAGTGCTGGTGGTTTGAAAATTGGCGCAAAACTAGTAACACAGGATGAAAATAGATAAGTTGTTCTTGGAAGATTTTACTGCACCTAGGTAATTCAACCCTAAACATGTCTGTTAATCAAATGAAATGCTAACAAAATATTACTTTGATGCAGACAAGTATAATGAAACACTTTCAAAATGCAATTTCATTCTGCAGAGTGTAAAGAAACATTAATAAAACACCAACAATGTAATGAAACATTAACAAAATACCATGTCACTCCATCCAGTAAAGTCTTGCATTGATGTTTCATTAAATGCAACACTTTCAAAACATACTAAGAAAATATAAAAGTATGATTTGTTAGTGTTTTGAAGATATTTTGAAAGTATTTTGTTAGATTTCTTTTTCATTTGGGAATTGGTGCTGGCACCAAAAAGATCCCTCCGTGCTCAATGACCGACCATAAATGTAAATTATAGGACAAAATTTGCAACTCTCAACCGGCAAATGGTGGCATTAACTTATATTGATTTAACATATGATTGACAAATTCTCGAGAGACCCTGGCCTGACAACATAAATCAATCATTATAATCATACTACAAAACTTGCTAAATCATTTAAATCGATTGATTATACTCATTGAACCAGACCTGGTGATTTCATGTTTGACAATTAGGATTGTTAGTGTGTTCGAACAAAGTGAGGCTGCGAACATAATACACGATAATTTCTGGCTGGTGCAACATGAATGCTGTAACGGATATGATATTCAAGGCATGAAACTTGGTCAGATGTCCTAAAATAGCCCTTTAAATGGATTAACGATATAATGATTTGGTTATTTGAAGAATGGAGATACCCACTTTCTATATATTTTTAACTTGAAACATTAAATAGAGTGAAAATGCATCATTTTTGGTGACATACCTCTTCTGCTGTCATTGTGAAAATGTTCTTTCATTTTCGGGACAGGAGGACATCGAGCCCGAACTATATATTTGAAAAAAAAAAGGGCTTTACTATCGGTGCTTTTGAATTTTCATAGATCATTGATTGAAATTGTCAGGCATTATTTTTATTTTGAAATCATATTTATTCTATTTTGACGAATTTGATTTGAAATAAATATCGTGAAAATTTTTAGCCTTAGAATATTCCTCGTACGAGTTAATTATACAAAGCGCGCCGATTTTAAATTCTTCTGAACGGTAAGTAAACAAAACATATAGTTAAGATCGGTTCATTGTCGTAATTGCTATATTCAAACGGTTATTTAGGTAATTACAAAATGTCATTAAATAAAAGATCATAAATTCTTGCTAATCAACTTGTGTTTGAAAATGATAGTCAAAAATAAGAAAAAAATGTTTGACACAGGGCACGAGGAACCTCTAGACTACATCTACCACCATGGACGGTGAATCGTTCTTCAAGCAGCTGAAGCAGCTGGCACGGATGGTGGACCGTGGATTACGTGAAGCCACGGATGAAGTAGAAAATAACTACTCCAAGCGGGGCCCTGCGGCAGCAGTGAAAAAAGTTGTTGATCTCAAGTCAGAAATTAAAGATATGAAGGTGCATACATGTATTTAATCGGTTTTCTTTAAACTTGTCATTTTACATGTGTCTCCAGGGTTCAACATTTCAACTTTACCTCAGTTAATATCACCATGTTATACAAATGAAGATGAACTTAGTTGTATAAGGTTCAATATTTATTGCATGGACCCCATTCCACAATAAGAAACAATGCTAGATTTAATGAATAGGTGAACAGAATGTAAGAAATAAAACACAACTTATTAATAAGTAAATGACATCAGACAGCATAGTCAGTTAAATGCAGTCCTCATATGTAGACACAGAAAAATTTTACTATTAGATTTTAACAAATTGTCATGTTCCAAATTCATTAAATGCAAAAATTGTGTTCACTACAGATAGAAACTTCTGTAAAAATATATGTTTTATCAAAGTATATTTTAAAATGTATACTATTAACAAAATGTATAAACAAGTAATATTTGCTACATCATTTGTACATCTTACCAATTTATGGGTTATTTTCGCCCCGTGTTATTTTTGCCCTTTCATATTTGGAAACGAGTTTGTCCCGTTTTAAATTCGCCCATTCATGGTTCTGTTATAAAAATTATGATATCTTCTTTGAATTTGCCCCGTTTTAAATTCGCCCGACTTTGAACAGGGCAAAAAGGGCAAAAATAAAACAGGGGCAAAAATTTCCCTGTATACAGCATGATACAGTATATCGTATGCTCAAGCCTCCAGGTTCACATACAAATAGCTGATCTTGAAAATGATAAAATTGTACTTTCAAATTACTATATCTGGTGTTGCTTACAATCAATGAGATTACTGACAATACTTTGCAAAAGACATTGGACTTTGTTTCAAAATTTCAGTCGTTCTCTCTTTCAGTCACATGAAGATAAAAAGAAAAAGTTGAAAAAAATAGATAAAACTTCCTGAAAATGGTCTGTATACAGTAAATGATAGGAATTACATGTATTATACTAATTATTTGTGCAATATACATGTAATTTCTGCCGTCTGATATATATACAGACCATTCAGTAAATAAAAGATATGTTAAATTTAATATTTTCATTTCCCAATGTCTTTCCTTATATGACAATACTAAAAAAATGAAATTCAATTTTCAATGACCTGCAGTCGGTCACATGATCAGACTTTCTTGCGTATGGAAAGCAAACTGCACAAGACATTTGGAAAGTCTTGACTGTGACGTCATATGACGTCATATTTATACGTTATGTTTCATTCAATAACAAAGTCTAAATAGAGCATTTTTTCTTTGTAATGTGAATAGAAATAAAAATATAAATATATATTTAAGAAATAAAATATCATTTTTAGGGTGTCAATGGAATATGACATGAAGTTGGTACATGATCCAATCTACTATAACGCCCTTCGGGTGTTAGAGAATTTGATCACATGACCGACTTCAGTCATATCCCAATGACACTCTAAAAATGATATCTTATTTCTTAAATGATAATCAACAAAGTCAAGAAAACTTCTAACACTGTTCTGTCAAAGGTTAACAAAGCCAGCCGGCCAGAATTAGTGAAGTATGTTAAAGTGCAATGAAGATAATGATAAGTTGATAACTATAAAACACATATAAGTTGATATATATATTCTTTGTATGTTTTAAATAAATCTATCTCATATTTAAGTGTAAAGGGGAAGAACTGTTGCACACTTTGGAGAAAGAAGGAAAAGAGTTTGACAAAATCCTTAAGATTTCTACACAGTATCTGGAGATCCACCGACAGAAAATAAGGAAGACGGAGGAGTACTTCGCTAAGTACGGATACCAGCAGAAAGGTAGCGTAACAAAATACAGATGTATCAGAAGTTGAAATATAATATATAATGAAATGTGATATAATCAATTTGGCATAAATTGTCCTGGAACATAGGGAAATTCAGCCTCAGCATTATTGCACAATTTAAGAAAAATGTTAATTAAATTGAAGACATTGACAGGAAGAGAGACTGAAATTGACATTGAACCATAGTTATAAATCAATGCCTTAATATGCCAAACTCTATCAAATGCTCAGCTTTTGATAAATCACAAAAAAACATACAATATTGCCATTCATCAATACTTTTTACATAAGTTTCTGAAAGTTGATACACAGTTGAGTGACCACATAGAAAACCTGCCCTGATATTTGTAGAACAAATTATTTGTCAAAAAATATTTATTTATATACAAGTTTGTTTTAAAATTAAGGTTCATAAACCCTCTGCTAACTCATATAAAATGTTGCTGAAACTTTAATGATTTTCCAAAAGAAAAGTATTTTATACGTAAAATACCGACAAGCATAGCATAGCTTGTGGTGCAAAATTGGACAAAAAAGACACTTCAACTTGGCAAATCTATAAAAGAAAAATAGACATTTATGTATTAAGAGTTATCTCTCTTATCAGAGTATCAATGACCCTTAAGTTTCAGAATTATCTAAGGAAATAACTTGAAAGACTTTGCTTGGAAAGAAAGAGAAAGGCAGGCAAATATCAGTAAAAGTGCTAGTAGTCTACCAAACATGGATACAAAAACAGGCATTAAATACATGTATAGCACTCTCAAATTGAAAACTTAAAGAAAAAAATAATTTCATGTTATACATGTTATATGTTGCTGCAAATTTTTTAGCTAAATTAGAACCCAAACCCTCAGAAGAAGAGAAGACAGAGGAACCAGTTGAATTGAAAGAGAACCAGTCAATGGAGGACCAGTTAACAGCAACCGATAAAAGGTGTGTCGTCATTTGTAAAGAAAAATTAAACCACAAAAATTAGTGATTTCACAGAATGCAACTCTAAATATTTCTTATCAGTCATGTATATACATTTTTGTAAACTTGTCTACAAATTAAAAAAAAAAAGGAAGTCATCAACACAGAGAATTTTTTAAGTCAAAGCTTAAAAGGGAAGACAACTTTAAAATGAAGACATACAATTAAATTGCAAGATTTGTGCAACATTATGGATATTTGCATCCATAGGTGGGGCTGATGGAAATTTGTAAATGACAGTATGTATTTTTCAGGCAAAATTTTAAGTGAAGGCATACAGTCAATTAAATTGCAACAGTATAGATATTTGCATCCAAAGATGGATATTTGTGAATGACAGTATGTATTGTATAATTCCAGAACAACCCCAAAGAAAGAGAAATCACCAACAGGAGGGCCCCGTACCCCCAAACCGGAGGACTTCGGACTGAGTAGTCTAACACTGAGTGCCTGTAAACGTCCGGAGAAAACACAGGTGTTAAATTCTCACAGGTAAGGGAGTTATAACACAATCAGGCAAACAATAAATCCTATATTTGACAAAATTTAGACTTTGAGTCCTGTTAGTTAATCTGTTGAATTGATCTTGCAGAAAAACACCCAAAAAAGAAACTGTGCCTCCTGCTGAGGCCCCCCAAGAAGAACCCCTCCCTGGACCCCGCACCCCTAAACCAGAGGATTTCGGACTGAGCAGCCTCGTGCTGAGTGCCTGTAAACGTCAGGAGAGAACACAGGTGTTCAGTTACCCAGACACAACCTCTCACAGGTAACAAGGCAGTTACCCAGACACAACCTCTCACAGGTAACAAGGCAGTTACCCAGACACAACCTCTCACAGGTAACAAGGCAGTTACCCAGACACAACCTCTCACAGGTAACAAGGCAGTTACCCAGACACAACCTCTCACAGGTAACCCAGACACAACCTCAAACAGGTAACCCAGACACAACCTCTCACAGGTAACCCAGACACAACCTCTCACAGGTAACAAGGCAGTTTACTATCTTTTTTTTTTTACTTGGTAATACATGTATATAATACGTAGCCCTGCTACATGTCTTCAACTGATAAATTGACAATGACACAATAAGATTTTCTAGGTTAAATATTTTAACTACAACATATCTGAAATAGGTAAAAACACTTACTATTCATATGACTGATTAGTTGGGAGTTTATAAAACTGTACATATCTCTCACGTATCAACCATTTACAGAGGGTTGGAGGAAATTCGGATTAGGAAAAAGAACGATCGTTTTAGGGAATATCAAAAATCGTGTAGTACTTTAAATGGAAAAGATGAAGGATATTTACGAACAATAGGACCATACTGCTGTGATTTATTTCATTTTTCTGTAGTTTTAAATCAAAAACCTGCATAAAATGTTTGTTTTTCAGTAAGAGAACGGGGAATAATTTCGGCCCCCTGCAGAATTTTTATTCGCCACGTGGGCGAGCAACTTACGAATTTTATGAGCCCACCCAATTTTTATTCACAATTTGCGAGTGGGCAAGCGTTAAGTTTAAACCCTGCAAGGCAGTTACCCAGACACAACCTCTCACAGGTAACATACCCAGACAACCTCTCACAGGAAACAAGGCAATTACCCAGACACAACCTCTCACAGGTAACCCAAACACAACCTCTCACAGGTAACCCAGACACAACCTCTCACAGGTAACCCAGACACAACCTCTCACAGGTAACAAGGCAGTTACCCAGACACAACCTCTCACAGGTAACAAGGCAGTTACCCAGACACAACCTCTCACAGGTAACCCAGACACAACCTCTCACAGGTAACACAGACGCAACCTCTCACAGGTAACAAGGCATTTACCCAGACACAACCTCTCACAGTTAACAAGGCAGTTACCCAGACACAACCTCTCACAGGTAACAAGGCAATTATCTTCATTATTCAGTTACCCAGACACAACCTCTCACAGGTAACAAGGCATTTTCCCAGACACAACCTCTCACAGGTAAAGAGGCAGTTACCCAGACACAACCTCTCACAGGTAAAAAGGCAGTTACCCAGACACAACCTCTCACAGGTAACAATGCAGTTACCCAGACACAACCTCTTACAGGTAACAAGGCAGTTACCCAGACACAACCTCTCACAGGTAACAAGGCAATTATCTTCATTATTCAGTTACCTAGACACAACCTCTCACAGGTAACAAGGCATTTTCCCAGACACAACCTCTCACAGGTAAAAAGGCAGTTACCCAGACACAACCTCTCACAGGTAACAAGGCAGTTACCCAGACACAACGTCTAACAGGTAACATACCCAGACACAACCTGTAATAGGTAACAAGGCAGTTACCCAGACACAACCTCTCACAGGTAACAAGGCAGTTATCCAGACACAACCTCTCACAGGTAACAAGGCAATTATCTTCATTATTCAGTTACCCAGACACAACCTCTCACAGGTAACAAGGCATTTTCCCAGACGCAACCTCTCACAGGTAAAAAGGCAGTTACCCAGACACAACCTCTCACAGGTAACAAGGCAGTTACCCAGACACAACCTCTCACAGGTAACAAGGCAGTTATCCAGACACAACCTCTCACAGGTAACAAGGCATTTTCCCAGACACAACCTCTCACAGGTAACAAGGCATTTTCCCAGACACAACCTCTCACAGGTAACAAGGCAGTTACCTAGACACAACCTCTCACAGGTAACAAGGCAGTTACTCAGACACAACCTCTCACAGGTAATAAGGCAATTGTCTTTCTTATATGCTTCCCTTACCTTTCACAGGGAAGCTGCAGAACTTAGCGTTATGGTTTTATATTGTAGTCTTCGACCATAACCATGATAACTTTGGTGAAAATTTTGACACTTTGAAAAACTTTTACGAAAACATTGATACTCTCAAAAACTTTGGCAAAAACTTTGACACTTTGAAAAACTTTGGCGAAAACTTTGACACATTACATTGGCGAAAACTTTGGCGAAAACTTTGATACTTTGGCAAAAACTTTGCCACTATGAAAAAACTTTGGCGAAAACTTTGACACTTTGATTTACTATAGTTAACTATTATAATAATAAACTATGGTTAACTATTGTAACAGAGACATTTTATTGCCTTTTAAAAAATATATACTTATGTTAATGTTATGAAATATTTATTATGTTTACATGTTTTGTAGGGTTGTTTATCCATCTATTTATTTATTGTCATCAATTAAAAGAACCCACATCCCGAACTGAGTTTTCATTTCAATTACTTGGGAAAACCCGGTTACACTATATTTAACTATAGTTTTTTTTTTGTCAGGAGTAAGTTGTACTCGATCCCAGACATCTTGTTTTACCTTCACTGCTTTCCTCATCATAATTTGTTGTCTTTTTGTCAGGAGTAGGTTGGACTCGATCCCAGACATCTTGTCTGACCTTCATTGCTGTCCTCATCATAATGTGTGATCTTTTTGTTAGGAGTAAGTTGGACTCGGTTCCGGACATCTTTCAACATGATGGCATTCAGGTAACGCCAAGTTTTCTGGGAGGGAAGTATGCCAGCCCAGGATGGAAACAAGGTGAGAGGTGGATATCAGATATTATTGACTTCTTAAGTTCTTTTTCATTGGTTCATCATCAATAGGCTTTGGGCAGTAGTCTGTACAATGACATTGGAACAAATTTTGTAGTACATTGCTATTTTTACATTTCTATATTGCTAGGATAAATGAAGAAAAGATGTCAATATATTTTTTGTGTCCTCGACTGTATTATCTTTACTTTCAGATTTTACAGATAAAAAGTTTCTGGTCCCAAAAGTCAAGGACGGAGCACTGAGGATGGTAAATCACACTGAGTATCCATTGTCTGTCCTTGTCATAGAAATCTATTATGAATTATTGAAAAAGAGAGATTAATCCCTTAGATTATCTTAAAGAAGCCTAGTCTTAATCTTTGATTTAATCTTGATTGTTAATCTTGATAATGCCCTAAATGTATCTTTAGAATTCATACTTGATTTTGTTTAAGAGAAAATAGGATAAAATCTAGATGCTTCCTAAACCAGCTTAACAAGGATTGTGATGTCCACTGGTGCATATAGGGCCAGTCATTACTTATCTAATTTCAAAGGCCCAAGCCCAAATCCAAATAGGTGAGGAAACTCCTGCCATCAGTCATGATGATTTTCAATGTTCTTTTTTAGAGGGGGAAAGAGAATTTTGACCAGAGTCCAAGCCCAGCCCCTCGATTTGGTTCAGTGAATATGAAAATTGGAAAGGTAGGCCATATCAGAAGATTCCATCCCTTTTAGATGCAGTTTTTAATTTGAATTATTTATTGAACAAATTAAAGCTGTTTGAGCCGAAGGCTCAAGTGAGCTTTTCTGATCAAAATTTGTCCGTTGTCTGTCGTTGTCGTCGTCGTTGTCGTCGTTGTCGTAAACTTTTCACATTTTCATCTTCTTCTCAAGAACCACTGGGCCAATTTCAACCAAACTTGGTACAAAGTATCCTTGGGTGAAGGGAATTTAAGTTTGTTCAAATGAAGGGCCACGCCCTTTTCCAAGGGGAGATAATCATGAATTTGTTAAAAATTAATGGCATTTTTAAAAAATCTTCTTCTCCAGAACCGCTGGGCCAGGAAAGATGAAACTCGTGTGGAATCATCCTCAGGTAGTGTAGATTCAAGTTTGTTCAAATCATGACCCCCGGGGCAAGGGTGGGGCCAAAATGGCCAACCCAAGTTTTACATAGGAATATATAGAAAAAATCTTTAAAAATTTTCTTCTCCAGAACCACTGGGCCAGGAAAGATGAAACTCATGTGGAATCATCCTCAGGTAGTGTAGATTCAAGTTTGTTCAAATCATGACCCCTGGGGCAAGGGTGGAGCCAAAATGGCCGACCCAAGTTTTACATAGGAATATATAGGAAAAATCTTTAAAAATCTTCTTCTCCAGAACCACTGGGCCAGGAAAGATAAAACTCATGTGGAATCATCCTCAGGTAGTGTAGATTCAAGTTTGTTCAAATCATGACCCCCGGGGCAAGGGTGGAGCCAAAATGGCCGACCCTAGTTTAACATAGGAATATATAAATAAAATCTTTAAAAATCTTCTTCTCCAGAACCACTGGGCCAGGAAAAATAAAACTCATGTGGAATCATCCTCAGGTAGTGTAGATTCAAGTTTGTTCAAATCATGACCCCCGGGGCAAGGGTGGGGCCAAAATGGCCGACCCAAGTTTTACACAGGAATATATAGGAAAAATCTTTAAAAATCTTCCTCTCCAGAACCACTGGGCCAGGAAAGATGAAACTTATGTGGAATCATCCTCAGGTAGTGTAGATTCAAGTTTGTTCAAATCATGACCCCCGGGGCAAGGGTGGAGCCAAAATGGCCGACCCTAGTTTTACATAGGAATATATAGGAAAAATCTTTAAAAATCTTCTTCTCCAGAACCACTGGACCAGGAAAGATGAAACTCATGTGGAATCATCCTCAGGTAGTGTAGATTCAAATTTGTTCAAATCATGACCCCCGGGGCAAGGGTGGGGCCAAAATGGCCGACCCAAGTTTTACATAGGAATATATAGGAAAAGTCTTTAAAAATCTTCTTCTCCAGAACCACTGGGCCAGGAAAGATGAAACTCATGTGGAATCATTCTTAGGTAGTGAAGATTCAAGTTTGTTCAAATCATGACCCCCGGGGCAAGGGTGGGGCCAAAATGGCCGACGCAAGTATTACATAGGAATATATAGGAAAAATCTTTAAAAATCTTCTTTTCAAGTACTTCAAAGCTATGATTAGTGATATTTATATGGAATCATCCTCAGGTAGTGTAGATTCTAGTTTGTTCAAATGATGAATGCCTGGAGGAGGGGGGGGGGAGTAAATTCAAGCCCGATGTGCTCAGGTGAGCGCTGTGGCCCCTGGGCCTCTTGTTTTAGTTTTGATTATATTTGGACATCTCAATCAAATTCTTTTTTCTTTTATTAGATTGGCTTCAAATTGAAGATTAAGATTAATCTTAATTTTAATGTAGATCAGTTTTTATACGCCCGTCTTAAGACGGGACGTATAATGTTATAGGCTTCGTGTCCATCTGTCTGTCCGTCTGTCTGTTAGCTTTTTCGTTTCCGGCTCATAACTTTAATACTACTAGGCCTAGGATTATCAAACTTTGTCATCTGATGCATCTTGGTTAGAGGGTGTGTCGCGCACAAAAAGTAGGTCACTCTGACCTTTAATTAAGAAGTTATAGCCAAATATGGAAAAATCCTTTCTGGCCCATAACTAGAAAACCATAAGACCTACAATCATCAAACTTGGCCAGTTTATGCATCTTAGGTAGAAGGTGTGACCTTTAATTTAAGTGAATTTTTTTTTAAAAAAATGTGTCTTTTTACTATTCATTTACACATCCCAAATAATGTAAGAGTATTGCACTGTTCTTTTTAAAAAAGTGTTAAATCAAGAAAATACTTATTTTTTCTAAGCATATACTTGACAGCAATCTATAACAAATATAATGTATGTCAGAGAAATCCCATGTCTCCCATGATAGTAATTATCAAGCACTGGTCAAGAAGAATTTTGATAACAGAAAATTGCATGTCAAATTAGAGAGAAATTAATGGGATTTGAGTTCGAGGAGCTACCTGACAGAGCATTGGTGTTATCTATATCCCTTGAGTATTGGGCAAATGGGTAAGCCTGTGTGATTAAAAATAGCTCTTGTTGACTAGCTTAAGTTTTAAAATGAATTTGATGAAAAGTAATTAAAACTATTTTGATTTGCATAATGGACTAGTCTGATATTATGTAATATTATTAATTTAAAAACTAATTTTATGGGGGGGTGGAATCAGCATGTCCATATGAATTACATATTAAAACCTGTTGGAAATTAAATCTCAACCAAAAAAAAAATCTTTGAGTATTTTATATGTTTTTAAAAAAAATTATAGTAGATAGTGCAGACCCATTCATCTCTTGGTAGTAATGAGTAGACAAGCATCCAGTTAAAGATTAATTAATGAGTTCAATGTTGGAAGGCTAGCTGTCTCAGTTGCTCTGATTAAGCTGTACCCTTTGGGGATTAGACAGAGGAACTGTTCGTCAGTTTATAACATATGTCATTTGATGGCCAGCCTTTTCTTTTCAAAATTAATTTGGTATAGATTAAGTTGTTAAGACTAATTTGATGATGGGCATTTGACAAGGTCTATTAATACAACCAGCACAGAAATCTATCAGTGATGTAATATTTATTATAATTGATGCCTACATCACAGGGGATGGATAAATATTTTAAGGAATGGAAAAATCATAAATATTTTAAGGAATGGAAAAATCATAGAAATCTTAGAAAGGTTGATGTGATTTTCTTGCACCTAAACTGTTCAAGAAAATTGTAATTTTTTTGACGGGCGTATCATGCTGAGGCGCGGCACTTTATTATCGAAGGTCAAGGTTAAACATTCCAATAAGCTACCGGTACTATTTTTAGGAGTTGAGTGATATAACTGGAATACACAGACTTCCCAACACCCCAGAACTGACCTTACCCAGGAATTACTCAGCTTTCCGTCCCCCACCAGATACCCCCGAACTGGCGTCCACCAAAACACAGCTGAGAAGTCGCCCTCTACCAGATACCCCCGAGCTGGCCTCAACTAAAACACTTATGAACAGCAGACCTCCACCCGACACCCCCGAACTAGCCTCAACCAAAGCATCTAATCACACCCCTGAGACTCCAGTCTTTCTCAAACAGATCAAGGTAGGTTGCATTTTAAAAAAAACAATAGATTTGAAAATCTTTTTAGGTAAATAGATTTCTCATCTGCAATATTTTAAGATGAAATTGATTGACGTTTATGTGTATTTTATGTTATCAGATTTTTATTTTTTTTTTTTTTTGGATACTGAAGGCAACAGAGGGTAGTCATACTAGTGCTGTGTGGAAACCTCCCATAATGCCCCAGGAACCACAAAATCCAAGTCGCACAGAAGCTTTGAAAGAAATGCCACAGATGCCCAAACTAAAGGGACTATACAGCTATCTCTCCGATGTTAACTGATGAATTATGGCTTTATTTTGTGTATTTATGACTGATTTATACCCCACTCCGAAGAAGGGGGGTATATTGTTTACCCTTGTGTGTCTGTCCATCTGCTTGTCTTTCAACCTGTGTGTCTGCCTGTAAAATTTTTTTGGAAATAGTTTTCTAAGCAATTGCTCATCACAGATGCTTGAAATTTTAACACAATCTTCTCTGAGGCATGCCATATGGTGGGATGTCATTTTTGTTCAGATCCAACTTCTTATTCATCAGTGCATCTGTCAGTAACTGAACTTTTGTATATTAATATCAGGGGATGACAAATCCCATTGCCCGACGCCCGGGGCTAGTGAATTTTAGGGGTGGGCAAGTGAAATTTTATCAACCACTAGCCCGTGGGCAAGTGACTTATCAAAAATAAAATTTATTTGTAGGCCATAAATTTAAAGCTGGGCTTAGAGACTCAGCATTTGTCTTCCTCTTTTTTTGAAAAAATGTCTATAAATACAGAATTAGTTTATGGTAGGGCAAGCAAAAATTCAGGAAGGGCAAGTCAATTTTGACCAGGTACTTGCCCTTGGACAAGTGGCTTAAAAATCTATTTGTCAGCCCCTGTTAATATGATAGTGTATAATCATATCAGAGCGGAGGTATTACTAGTGAGCATTGGCTCATGGACTTTTTGTTTAGTACATTTTTTATATGTACAGTCGTGTGCCAAAAGTGAAGATAATTTTATTTTTTCTCTATATATTTCATTGAAAACAACATTTTTTAAAATCATTGGCAAATGGTCAATTTTTGTCCAATTTCATTATTTATTTCAGTACTTAAACCAGAAAATGTGCAGTTTTTTTTCTTTAAAAGATCATTAAATATTTAGTTTTTAGTAAAAGATAGTTCATCAATTGACATCAGTTCTAAAATTCAAGATCAACGTTGACTATATAATTCATTGTGAGTATGTGACTTAAAAATTCATGTCGCAGTAAAATTACAATATTTTTAAAATATCAATACTGATCAGATAAAAACTATTGTTTATATCAACTACAACAATTTATTGGATTACCATGAAATTTGTGATAAAATCTGTCAAGAAATGTTGTCATACCAGTGATTTTAAAAAATGTTGTTTTCAATGAAATATATAGAGAAAAAATAAAATTATCTTCACTTTTGGCACAGGACTGTACATGTTGTGTACAAGTTTATTTTAAGTATTTATGATAGATCTTAAAAGTATTTATGTTTCTTTAAACATGTTAAGGACCCTCTTTACACAAGTACAAAAATTTTTTTGGACATTGAGAAAAATATATTGTATAAAACATGATAAAGGAGTTAATATTGTGCTTATTTATTCAATTTTCACTACATAGTGGGTGGCATTTACCCCCAGGAAAAATGTTCAAAGACAACACAGTATCAGTGAATAGAAATCAATGTTAAATACTTCAGTTGAGAAAATACATGTATATAGGAATCACCTTGTCCGTCTGTCTGTCTGTCCGTCTGTCTGTCTGTCTGTCTGTCTGTCCGTCTGTCTGTGCAATCGTGTCCGGTCCATATCTTTCTTACAGAGGGACATTAGAATCTACTACTCCACATTAAGATTGCTCATAACCTAAGGGTGTGTCATGACCTTGACCCAAGGTCATTTGGGGAAGTTCAAGGTCACTGGAAGAAAAATTTCATAATTCGTGTCCGGTCCATATCTTTCTTATGGATAAACTTGGTAGGTTCTCATTTCACACAAAGATTGCCCATGACCCAAGGGTGTGTCATGACCTTGACCCAAGGTCATTTGGGGAAGTTCAAGGTCACTGGGAGAAAAATTTCAAAATTCATGTTTGACACATATTTTTTATGGATAAGCTTGGTAGGTTCTCATTTCACACAAAGATTGCCCATGACCCAAGGGTGTGTCATGACCTTGGCCCAAGGTCATTTGTGGAAGTTCAAGGTTACTGGAAGAAAAATTTCATAATTCGTGTCCGGTCTATATCTTTCTTATGGATAAACTTGGTAGGTTTTCATTTCATATAAAGATTGCCCATGACCCAAGGGTGTGTCATGACCTTGACCCAAGGTCATTTGGGGAAGATCAAGGTCACTGGTAGAAAAATTTAATAATTCGTGTCCGGTCCATATCTTTCTTAAGGATAAACTTGGTAGGTTTTCATTTCATACAAAGATTACCCATGACCCAAGGGTGTGTCATGACCTTGACCCAAGGTCATTTGGGGAAGTTCAAGGTCACTGGAAGAAAAATTTAATAATTCGTGTCCGGTCCATATCTTTCTTATTGATAAACTTGGTAGGTTCTTATTTCACTCAAAGATTGCCCATGACCCAAGGGTGTGTCATGACCTTGACCCAAGGTCATTTGGGGAAGTTCAAGGTCACTGGAAGAAAAATTTTATAATTCGTGTTTGATACATATCTTTATTATACAAAAACTTACTTCTGAAAAACCCAGCGGGGGGTATTTTGTCCCGATTGGACAGTTCTAGTTACAAATTGAGTAATATATTATAAATTTCTATTTTTTTGAATTTATATCTAAGGGCAGATCACTCTAACTGCAGAAAAATACCTTAGAATCAGCACTCTTTAGTGTGCAGTTTAGAGTGGGTTCTTAAATGGAGGATGTATGAATGGTCAATAAAATCATAGGGAAAAAAAAGTTTTATTTATAAATTTTGACCAATTTTTGTTGCAAAACTTCCTCTCCCTAAGAGGTGGATATATTTCAGCCAGGTGAAATATTTCGATAATTGTTATGCCCCACTTCGAAGAAGGGAGGGCATATTGCTTTGCTACTGTCTGTTGGTCGGTGCACCATCAGTATGCATTCATTTTCTTTGCAGATGTTGCACATAATGAAATGAAATTTGGTATGCAGATTAATCCCAAGAATATCTTGGCCAAATTTTGGACAGTTACATGTATGCCCCTTGGAAAAATTCTTATAATTTGTAATTTTCGTTGCAGAGGTTGCACATATTGAAATGAAATTGGTTATACAGATTTATCATAAGAATATCTAGTTTATGTTCTGTTTTGGTTATGGTCGAGCTATTTTGGGGTTATGTCCCTTGGACTTGGAAAATTCCAATTATTTGGGGCCTGGATAGGGAGCATTTTAAGTGTTTACAAATATCTCTTGTTGTTAGAACACTTCGAATTCCTAGCTGCTCATATTGGAATTTAGAAATACCTGAGAGCCTGTCCATTTCTCAAAAGAGAATGCATAAAATTGTCTCTGATTCTGTTCTTAAAGAAAATCATGCTGTCCGAGTTAGATTTATCAAACATCATGTACAGACATATAATTCATGAGATCTATTCAATAGCATCAACTTCCTTTTTTTTACCTTGACCTTCCCTGTGACCTTGATCTCACTTTTCTGGAATAAGCTCAGTTTAAAAAAAATATTCTTCAATATTGAAACCTTTTAAAAGATGATCATTTTCAACTATATGACTTAACCATTTCCCTGCAAGCACTTTGTAGCGTGGAACCTGTTTTCCTTATGTTTAGCGTAAATAATATTATGATGTAATGTTTTAATGTGAAAATTATGAGATTTTAGCAAGTAAAAAATAGAAGAAAATTGGCATTAAATTGAAGATGATATGTACTTTTTAAAGTGCGTAAAAATGCGTGATTGCGGGGAAACGGTATATGCGTGATTTTGCGTTAGAAATAGGAAATGGTATACCGTATTTGGCCGAGTATAATACGCATTGATGTAAAATACGCACCCCCCTTTTTGAGTCTGAAGCTGGGGAAAAAAACGCAGTTCGGATGTATTATACGCAATAGAAAAATTTACCAAGCGATGTTCTGAACTATGAAAATCACGGTAATTTGTTACGAAAATCGGCGCGAGGATTAGGTGTCAAAAATTTACTGAACACACTTTTTTTAAAATACACACTTTATAACTTTCTCTTAATCCTGACATTCCGTATCGCGGCAATCTGGAGAAAATTATTTATTCATTTATTTCAACAAAGCACAAGATAATGTTGCGTAAAAGTATTAACAGATTTTTTTAAAGAATAGTTACGGTGATTTTGAAATTATGCGTCGCCATATTCTTAGATGAAATAATTTTATTTCAACAAAGCAAGAGATATTGTCGAAAGTTTTATCAGTGTCATATTTAATATTGGTTCTAGATAATCATGCTTAAAATTATCTTACAATATTTTAGCAGGAAACGAAATTGAAACATCAAAGTATTTATTTCTTTAACTAGACTACAATTTTCCTCTTCTGAATCTTCGCGGATATCTTATTTTCTAAATGATACTTTTATTAAAAGTTTTAGCATAATTTATATTTCATTTCTCAACTCTCAATTATTTAAACAAGAGGCCGATAAGTATAAGATAAGGTAAAATTATATTTGACAAGTGTTTAATTGTTTAAGTGCCGTAATCAACACATGCTCACACATACTGTAGTAAAATTATACCATTTTACTATGAATAAATGTCGCCTACCTTACAATCAAAGGTGACGACGAATACCCAGGTTTACATGGTAGGTAAACACAGGTACATGCAACAATATAACAAGACAAAGCAGGAAAACGTGGTGAAGGGTTTGACTGGTAATTCTCGACTGAGGTAGGAAACGTGCCGGCACGGGTGGATGGCTATGAGGTCAGGGTGAAAGGTCATAGTGGACATATTTACATATACAATTTCACTACATTCCTCCCCGTTTTATTTAATAAGCTAGGGAGCAAATACTGTAATTTATTCAGAGGAATGTAAACCAGAAATATATAATTATTATTTAATATGACATGGAAAACGTATGAACTAATTCATGTATCCCCATGAACTTGGCCGGAATTACTTCTAGCGCCTTAGTTCTGCAGGATAAACATGTAAATGTGTGGCAAGATTGAATATGGTTCAATGCTTTGCGAATTAAATCCGCATGCATCTTCCACACTGGATCAAATGATCATATTAATTTAGCCATACATATTCCATGTTGTCTGTTATATACATATTTCCTATGTTTAACAATTTATAGCCTAAAGAATGTCTATTTACCTATGACCTAACACTGACCTACTTCCGTGAGAGTCCTGTAACTGAATGGTGTCATGGCAAATGCATGGTTTTAGTCGAGTGAAATTCAGTTGTACCAGTATATAACTTAATTGTGTAATACAACTAATTTACCTAATTAAATTGTGCAGGTGTGCAGTATATGTTAGGACTTTACAACGGATAAATTAAGTTAAGTGTTGTGATGTATTCTAATAATTAACTTAATATATATTACAATTAACTTCTTAAGTATGTCGTCACCTTAAATATGACAATGCCTAACACTAGTACTATATAACTTATACTAATTTAAGCCTAACCTAAACTAAGTAACTAAACTTAACTAAGTTAAGTGTTGTGATGTATTCTAATAATTAACTTAATATATATTACAATTAACTTCTTAAGTATGTCGTCACCTTAAATATGACAATGCCTAACACTAGTACTATATAACTTATACTAATTTAAGCCTAACCTAAACTAAGTATATTTTCTTATTACCTATCCTAAGAGCTTAACTAACTGAAGAATATTTGCTGACTATTGATAGAAGATCCTATGAAATATTATTGTTGAAAACATATCTACAAAACACATTCTGCATCAGTACCGTCACTGTCTAAAATTAGTAAGCCAGGTATGATACGGAAAATGTTTAACATATAACTATATACAAAGCAATCCAGCCCAATACCGTCACTGAGAATGGTCAGCCGGGTATCTAACGGAAAGCATAAAGTTATTTACATGGAGCAATCCAGCCCAATACCGTCACTGAGAATAGTCAGCCGGGTATCTAACGGAAAGCATATGTTGCATGATTACACCAGTCCTGGTAGGAGTATATGCTGGGCATCCTTAGGAACTGGGTCAAGGACATGCAACAGAATAGATCATTGCAGTATTTTGACTTTATATACTGCCTGAATATGCTTCACCCAGATTTGACCTGAAGTAACTAACTAAAGTTTATAAGTGTTTCTTAATATAAAGTACTATGTTGTAACTACAGAACAGTACTTGTAATCAACATTTAATCTGCTTTGCTAGCTTGAGCAATAATTACACCAAAATATTCACTATGTTCACTTATTTTCCAAGATAGTAATGACTTTTCTAATACTGCTTAATTCCTCTTATATATGCTATGCTATATCTAAAGTATCACTAAATACTTGTAAGTGATCTGTTATTACTGTAATCATGATAATATGTACTGTCACGTGTGCATATCTACACCACTAGTGCATCGAGCATTGCTATGAAGTTTACACTGATACAGATTAACAATGGCGTGCAAATTAGTTACTTTAAATCTATAACTTAAATGTCATGCATATAGATAAACTCTTAAGCTAAACTAAATAACAACTATACTGGTTTTTATATCTACAAACTACAATCTACACAATTTCCCCTCCCTTTTATTTTTAAATGAAGGAAGTAGTAGTATTATAACTAGCTGTTTTCAATTATGAATAGCATTATTGCAACTTGTCAGATATAGTTTGTGCATATTTTAGCTACATGTATACTGATATACTAGTGAGTTGCCTATTATAAACAAATCACTTAAGTACTAAATGTAATGTGTAGACAAGTCTTATTAGTATCACTAAACACTAATGACTAGTAGATAGTGCTGCTAGTTATAATTAGCAATAATAAAAGGTACTGTGCTAAATTCACCGTACCTTTAAGTCTCAACTACCAACTATGACGTACCAGTTAAGAGTTGACTACCAGTTCTAGTGTAAATGTTAGTTTCTTAAATTATAAAATAATTAAATCCAAATAAGGTCAGATTGCAGTCAGAGTTTAGAATATTAAAATGATTTGAATAAATACAACCTAAGTAATAAACCTGCAAAATAAAAATACTGTGCTTCAATAAGAAGAAACAAATCAGAGATATCTTCTTAAAAAATTTATTCATATTTAGAACAGTCTTTCAACAAAACACTAAAGTATGGAGTAACATTCCTCTGTAAATATACGCAAATGTACGAGTGTGACAAAAACTTCACCCATTACCTCCGGAGTAATAATCCTCCAGAAGACCATTTAATGCAAAGCTTCTGAAGTCCGAAAATTCACTACAGAGTAATACTCTTCCAAAGATATTTACAAATCTAAACTAAAACAAGAATGTTGTAAGGTTCAAGTAAGACAAATCTCATTTACAGGATAATATTCCTCTAGAAGATTTTGTACGATGATTATAAGAGAAAATCTTAACTATGTAGTAATATTCCTCTATGTGCAGCTCTACTACGACGAAACTTATCTACAGAGTAATATTCCTCCAGAACGCTAAGTATGCAAAGTTATATTGAAGCAATATCTGTATTACGGAGTAATATTCCTCCAGAAGGCTATATCTATGTATGCTCAGCTCTATTAAGCCAAAATCTAACTACAGAGTAAA